GTATTTATAATATGAAATTGGATATAAAGTAGTGAAATCATTTAAAAAATCTATAAATAGTTACATGAAATTCGACTGCTAAAAAGATTAAATGAAATTAAACTATACAGGAGGCCGCTAAATGTATTATACAATATTATACACAGGAACGCACATCATGTTAGACACAGAACGCTCATCGCGTATGAAACAAAATGGCTTCTAAATTCTCAATGTCGCAACTCTTTCTATCTATGGCTCTGACAACATTCATACGTCATATAGCATTTGTACATTAAACATGAATTTACTTGTCCAATTATGTTTTCGCCAGTACAGTTTTTGTAATCAAAATTTTGTTTATATAGGCTAAATTCTTTTTACAATATATTTTTCTTGGATGTGTTTCCAAAATCCGAAATTGCAATGGTTTAGTTATTTATGTAATAAGCGCAGATTGGTGCAATGTTTCGGACAGTTTTTTAGGTTATGAATCTTGAAGCTTACAGACGGATGTGTCGTATTATGATAATCCCATGTTTTCGTACCCTATCTATAAACGCAAATATCTTATATGTTTTACTTATTCGATTCGTTTTCCGTCGACATGAATATTCTGGACATCAGATGAAAGTATAATCTGTTTCTAATTAGCATGACTATTGTTTTAACTACATTTATTTTCAACTTTATTTCCAACATACCATTTACCAATATTTTCAAAATTATTGTATTTAATCCATCAACATTTTTTCCTGAGGCATAAATAGCAATATCATCCACAAAAATACTGCAAGTATCAGGAAAAATACATTTTGAAATATACCTATCATTTATTAATAACAAAAGGAAAATTGGACACCACCTTGTGGTGTACCAAATCAGTTGGTTTTGGTGTGATATTTCACTATTTGCTGCCTTCCAGCCAAGGGGCCACGAAAGGAACGTTCAAGTCTCAGACTTTCACCACTATACACGAAAATCGTATCGTTGAGTAATAAACCAATATTCTCAAAGGAGTATGAACTCATGCATATCATCTCAGGGGCGGATGCAGGGGGAAGGTTTTGCATTTCTGAGCACCAGAGGTCCATATTCTCAAATTGTTATCAACTCAGCTCTACCCACATTCGAGCTGTGGTGGTGTGGACTCTCACGCACCCCTATTGCCAAATCCTGCATGCGGCCCTAGCATCCATAAGAAAAAGATTTATAGCAGTTTGAGGCATGTAGCAGTTTGAGTGGTATGGCTATCTTCTAAAAGCATATTGGTACATTTATAAGGTCATTTTCATCAAGATATATAATAATTTGATCTTGGACTTGCTTTTGAACAGTTTTGGCTACGTGGCATATCACTGAGATTAGTCTTCTTTAATTGAGTTTGAAATTTCTGTTTATATTTGTTTTCAATTAATAAAAATAATCTGACTTGGATTTTCAAATTAATTTTTACTCGTGCATTTGTTTCTAAATGAATGATTATTTAAGGCGTTTACATAATCTAATGATATCAGGTGTGATCCATTTCATTTTATTTAGCTTAAGTAAATAAAAATAATATACAAGATAATTGTTGACATTTTTCATTGGTTAATCTAATAAAAAAAAAACATCAATTCAATACAGGACAACAAACCAAGTAGTAGTCTCAAACCAAGCTATTATAATTTTCCTTTTTAATGAAACTGAATTTTAAAATTATTTTGTATAGTTCATCATTGTTTACGTGACGCTATTATTGAATAAATAAATGAAAACAACTCTGCAATCATTACAATTTTAACACATCGCCTGGGTTACTATGTCGAATCAATAGGAATACCAATCCTGGGAATATATTTTTAGTTCTGTTTACAGGGTTTAATTTTAAATCTGAGTGGTGTAACCCCTACATCCTAACTCGTTTGTGCTTTTTTTTTTTCTTTTTTTTTTTTTTTGGTTTTTGGTTGTTGGAAGTGACGAATAAGACCAAAGAAAACAACAAGTGATCGATTTTGGCGCTAGTTATTCTAATTATGGCCCACATTATCTTCCTCATTTTATTGTTATTTCGTTTTTCCTCGAGGGTCAAATTAAATTGCCTTGCCAGCCAAACTTGACTCGTGAACCATCTAGAAGAACCAAGATTTTCAACAACCTTTAACAATTTTCTTATTGGATTCATATAATACGAGGCAGGCGCGGATTAATATTCATTCAAACTATCGAACATGTTAAATCATAGTTTAAGCACGGGTATAATATTTTATCAGTGATGCATATAATGCTTATAATAAAAGCATATTATGTGAACAACATACCAGTCAAACTTGGTGCGTTGTATGTTAGTCGTCGTGAAAATGGAGGTGTCGTTGAATATCAGCTATGCCAGTTCGAATCAAAGTTCTCCTCTCATTGGACTTACTTTGCATCAGCTGCTTGAGAAGAGGGTTAATGAACACCCAGATCGTGAAATGTATGTCTTTCCCGAGGATGGCGAGAGAATCACATTCAAAGCTTTTAAAGATCGGGTATGTAAAAAGATCAGAGTGCCCATTTGTAGCATGATTGCTTTGGCAAAATTTGGACCCCCGTAGCATGCAGCATTTAATAATAATAATAATACAGGCAATAGAAACGTACTGTAGCATCATAAATTGGCAGTGACGTGAATTTTTGTACTAAGAAAACAGATTGCAAAAAATTCTGAAGGTGCCATTTTCGGACTATTTCTCACCTCAGGCCAACCATTGTAGGCCTGGGGAACAATCCACCTGTCTGGAAACGAGGACATGTCTGCTGCAGCCACTCCCAAATCAGCAAAAGGTCAACCCTTACATGTTTAGAAAAAAACCTGTTTTACTTTTTTGGGTAGGATGCGTGGGAAGTAAAATATTATATACTGCGTCAAATAGCCTATTTCCGTCCACCCCTTCATTAAAACCTCGGTCTTCCCCTGATAACACTTCAATTATGTGTAAATCACCAGAACAATTTATAACAATAAAATGGCGTTTTTAAAATTGAATCTTCCAGGTTGAAAAACTGGCTGCTGGACTGTTATCCATTGGGATAAAGAAAGGCGACCGACTGGCATTGTGGGGCAACATCCATATGGAAACCCTACTGTTTGTTGCTGCAGCAAGATCCATCGGCGTTATTACAGTATTTATGCAACGACATGTCTTAGGGATAGGCCTATAATTTATACAAAATTTAAATAGATTGTATGCTTAGTTTGTTTTATTGACATTATTGACATTATTGTTTACAGGTACGCATTTTGCCGGCTTTCCCAAATACCAGCGTGAAAGATATTTTGCTTCAAGTGAGTATATTTTATTTCCATTTCCTTCATATCGGTAGACAGACTATGAATAATGTATGATCAGCATTTAATCAGAAAATAGACCTTTTCCATATGAGGAGTTTTCGGTTTGCGTGACAACGTTATCCTCTGTGACAGAAAAAGCTATTTTGTCAACAAATAGCATTTTGGTGACAAAATAAATGTTGTCTTACAGTACAAAATAGCATTTTGTCCACAAATCATTATTTTATACAGTACAGAATACATTTTGTCGACAAAACAGAATTTTATCCCAATAAAATGCTAAAATAGCATTCTGTCTCAACAAAATGGCATTTTGTCGGCAAAATTTTCATAAGTGGCGCCCCGCAGATTTGGGGCATTCAAAACGATAATCCAGCGTCCTCGCGACGGGCATTGAATTCTATGTGACGTCATGTTCCAGATTTTACTTTGTCAGTGGCGGATCTAGGTTCACATTTATTTGGGGGGGGGGGGGGGGTCAGACTTTTTTTCATAAAAACGCCAAAAAAAAGAGGGGTCCGGTGTTCCTCCTCAGGGAAAAGTTTGATTCTTAGATGGCGGGAAATGAGCTTCCCAGACTTCTGAGTGTCTTTTAATGACACCTCAGAAGTCTTTAAAATTCAAGGTTTTCCCCCTCTTGAAAACGGTCAGTTAAACCTTCTCATTCATATTACGTAAATAAGCCTACTTATGTGTGTATACGTACATAAAAAAAAAATTGAGTTGTTTACGTATTCTTTTTTCCATGAATGGATAACCCCCGAATTCTGAGGTGATTTTTCCACTTTTGTAAACGGTCTGGTAACTTTTTCTCATTCTTATTACAGTAAATAGGCCTACAGTATGTGTGTACCGGTACACAAGGGGGATCAGGACCCCCTGACCCTCCTTCAGATCTGCCAATGGTCGTGCAATTGAAACATGTATCACATTCAATCACATCCATTCATCAACCCCAGAAAGACGATAACTTGGGCCTTAATCTCTTTCATAGTTAATGTCATATTCTATACAAATGTCGTTGCTAATAACTGCTATTGTTATTATTAATATTTAATTATGATGATGATGATGATGATGATGATGATGATGATGATGATGATGATGATGATGATGATGACTATGATGATGATGAAGCTGATAATACATAATATATATTATTAACTACAACATTAAATTATGCTTACATTATTTTTTAGCATTGTTATTTTCATTAAATTAATAATTCATTGTATTTTTTAAATGTATTTACAATTTACATTGAAATTTTCAAGAATTTTTATTTTATTTCTATTATTGTATATAATATGGTAGGCCTATTATAATCAACCAATCAGTCAGTCTTTCTATCATTCCATCAATCAATCACATTTTATACCACATATAATTTTTATGATAAACATAAAGCTTATGATTATTAGTAGTTCTCATAATCGCCTGCACATATGTGACCCGAGACCACAAAAGGGCTGTAAACTCGCTTCACCACTTTTCGAGAAAAGGGCCAAATAGACAGTATAACATGTAATTTGAGCAAAATGTGATTGTCATAAATATAAAGTATTACGGTACCTTAATCTTACTATTTTTGAAGTTTTGGTTCAATATTTCAACTATAATCTCTAAAATTTAGTAATGTTATGAAGGGCATGAGAAACGTATTTAAATTCACCAACTTTCAAACCGCCATACTTCGATTCCAAACAACTTATTAACCTGCACAAAATTCATTCCCCCAACTAGATAAATGAAAACTATCGGATAATAATACGTTTATGAGTACTCTTATGCTATGTACAGTATGTGATTTCAGAATAAACAAACAGTGTAGTTATAAAATAGTGCAATGGTAACAGAGCCAGGTTAGACCTACTGAGAACATTTCGGTTCTTTGCAATGAAGTAAATCTAAAACGTATTTATGAAGTCATTCAAAATCGTGTAAAAAAAATATTTGAACAAACTATTTAAAGTATGTTCCGAACGTATTTGTAGTGCGTCGTACTGTGGTACAAAGCTTACGTAAATGTATAGGCCTACCTAAATGAAGGAAATAGCCTTGAATTAATTCAAAGAATACTAAATTGGTTCATGACCTGTTGGAGATTTGGAAAACAAGGAGGATAAAAATAGAAAACAATCCTTTGCCCTCTGGCAGTGAAGCGAATCAGAGATGATGTAGATTGCGGTTGAGTACATGTTAAGAGACTAGTTGTGGTTATTGAAACTTTATAAAATATGACGCCAACAGAACAATCATCTGCACTATTTTCAGCGATGTGAAACTAAAACGTATTGAAGTATATTCACACAACGTCATTCAAATCTACAAAATAGTTAAACAATAGTCGGCATTACAATTTCTTCAGAAATATATCTTCAAAAGTAATTTTCTAGAGCATAGCACCATGGACCGGACTATCTTTAGTACTAAATAAAGAAAATAACCTTGAAGTAATTAAAAAGATACAAAGCGGTTCATATCTTGTTTAAAAAAAACAAATGATCCTGCAGAGAGGCAATTCATGATGTATGTCAAAATATTTTATATATATATATAGGCCTATATATATATATATATATATACATATATATATATATATTATCACACCTGAACTGAATTTCCTTGTCATTAGTTTCCCACCATACACCTATGCCTATGTTGTTTTAAATAGACTATAAGTGTTGTTTTTTAGTCACTTTATTTTTTTAAATAAAATTACCTCCCGAAGAATGTTATTTCTTTTTTGTGTATTTATTTTCGAAAGTTTCAAGTTTCAAGTTGTATACTGTACTATATAAACAACACTATTGTGAGGTAGACGAATTAGACCAAATAAAAACAAATTAGGCCTATTATGTTGGTCACGCCCGACAAACCCAAAATGTACGAAATTGAGATTAAACCATTTTTAATTAAGCGTATGAACTTAATTACGTAATTGAATATTATATATATATATATATATATATATATATAATATAAATTAAGATAGTCGTTAACACTGTTAGATCATATATAAATAATCAAAGTAAGGTAAATACAGTGTTGTAATAAAGGACTTAATAATGCATCGTGGAACATAGTCCTCAACCC